ACAAACGGCTCGATCAGTACTCTACACTGCCTCGATTCCATCGCCCCTGCCCCTCCCTATGTTTTACGTGCAACACGCCCCAGAGAGCTTGATTCCGCTTGCACTTGTCTTGTGGTATGTATCATAGTTCACTCGACTCTCGTGTTCTATATATGCGTTCCTTTGTTTTTCATTTTGTCTCGGTTAAGGTGGCTTGGGTGGAAACGGACGTGCCCTTCGACAAGCGGTTCGATCACTACCTCGACCCCAAGTTCTTCAAGCACAGGATCCACTGGTTCTCCATCATCAACTCGTTCATGATGGTCATCTTCCTGTGCGGACTGGTCGCTCTCATCCTTGTAAAGACTCTCAAGAATGACTTCGCGAAGGTGAGGTACTACAAATTTTCTTTTCTGCGTCACCCCTTGATGTGCTCTCATGAGCCCACTCCGGAGGGATCACTCGTACTGTACCAATATCATTCTACGGATATACCAGACAGATCGCGCCGCACCTGTGAAACCTCGCGAGGCCCACGTACTCCTTCCCCGCGCTCTGCTGCGCCTTCACCAGCCTCTTGTAAGGGTGGCGCCGGGTTGTAGTCAGCGGTGACAACAGACAGTATTTTCGTGAGCGGTTTGATCCGGGTAAGGCCTGTGGTTGTGTCTGAGACTCTCGTCTGTTACGGTTTATAGTGCATGCCAGGGTTATGGTTGGCGTGTGGTTAGAAGCTTTACCGAAGGTGATTTAGGACAACGTTCACGTTGCCAAGGTCGGGGGGTGAGGTCGGGTCACGGGCTTGGTGTCAGCTCGTAGGGTTGAGCCTCGTATCATTGTCGGTGAAGTGTAACAAGCCAGGGGAGTGAGCTTGGGTGCCTTCCGCGTTTTGGAGGCGTTTTTCGGTGGTACTCGAGAGTACCGTAGGTTGCATTAGATACCACCCCCCCCCCCCCCCCCCGGGAAGAAACAAAAAATTTGAATACCCCCCCACCCAAAAGAAGCCCAAAGGCAACGAAATGTGTT